TGGTTAAAATACAGATAAAATTTTATTTATTTCATTAATGTTCGGTTTTACATGGAAAAATAAGTGTTGAAGTGAAGAAATAAATAGTTTTTTTTTGCTCAATAATGCCTCACTGGATTTTTTATGCGGTTTTTTTAGAATTTTTTACATGGAGTATCTGAATTTATACGGTTTTTGAAAATGCTGGAACGCATCCCCTGTTTTTGTATGAAAGTAAAGAACTTTTTTATGCGGCTTTCTGAGGAACGCATGTACCGCATAAAAAGAGACCTAAGTGTTTATGTATATATCTACATCTGTTTTTGCCTTCATAGGTAACACTGTAGGGTAGGTTGGAGGGAAATAATATTTCAATATTCCCACTCTCTTTAAAGAATAAAATCTTGTAGATATACCAAATACAGTGGTCGGCAAAAATTATAGTTGCACCACATACTGACAAGTTTTAACAATATATTTATTTCGTTATTTAATTTTAGTTGTTTTTTTTATGGAAATATTATTCATTTAATTATGAATTTTAATTAGATTTCTTGGAAAAAGAGTATGCCCATTGAATTGTAATATAATTATGTGCAAGTTTCAAATGGCTAAAAATTACCGTTATTTTTTTTTTTATTTTTTTGACGTATTTGCTTCCATATAACGAATAAACACAATTTATTTTAAATATGGAAGAAAACCGAAACACAAAAATTCTAAAAAATTAACAGTAGTTTTAAGCTACAGTGCCGAACAAAAGTCGCAAACATTTGTGATGGTATGCAAGGAAAACTAAGGAGGTTGGAAAAGTGAGCCAGCGGAAACGGCCTACCAGTAAAACTAAGCAAAACGGAGTTTAAATATTTACTAGAAAGTATAGGCCACCACGATTAAAGGCATCTACTATGGCGCAGAGGGAGCTCACCATCAGTGAATCTGCGAAATATCTGGGGCTTTTGTTAGATAAGAAATTATACTGGACGTGCGGAAAGCTACGGGAGCCACACCTGTAAAGGTGCAGTTACACGTAGATGGGCCATGCCCATAGAACGGTGCATTGTTTATATAGTATACTGTTCTAGTCGGATCAACACTTTTATATGGCGGTCTGGTGCCCTATTTTGGCCAAGAAATCAGCCACCAGCACACTGCAAAAAGTGCAGAGGGCGGCCCTGCTATGGATCAGTGGGACACCACGCACAACGCCCTCGGAAGCATTGAATGTGATGCTAAACATACTGCCCATAGAGATTATGAAGAAGCCAAATGCAGCTCGAACAGCTGTCAGACTGCGGAATCTATCCCGCTGGAAAGCAAAACACTGCAGTCATACAACAATTCCGGAAGGGATTATGTAGTCTGCCGAAGGTAAAGGACAATTGCTTGCCGATGACGACCTTCAATAAAGCCGGATCGGGGAACAATTAGGAGGGCAAAAAGTCATTCCGCCTACCGGACCACTGCAGCGTCTTTCACGCAGAGCTTGCGGCCATACAGGAGACTGCCGAATGCTTAAGACAGAAGCAATATGGTGCAATAAGCTCTACATTTTCTCAGACAAACAAGCAGCTTAAAAAGCTCTGGATTCTGTCACATGCAACACGGAAACACGGTAGGGTTCTGTTATTTCAGGCCGCTTAAAAAGCTCAGGCCCTCCGCGATGGGCCTGGGTATACCACCCAATGAGATTTTGGAAGGGCTTAAAATGAATACCATTGCCGTTCCGCTTATTTGGAAAAATTATGGAAACAGCTGGAAACCTGCAACATGGATAATCCTATGTGTCCGGAACAAGATATGAAAAGACTTAGGGAGCTCCTTTTGCTGAAAAGATGAGAAATTTCTTTGACTACGGGTCTGCCGACCGGTTACATCACTCTGGGTAGGCACGCGACTTCTGTAGGAGCTGTAGGAACGAGAATGAACCTGAAACAGTAAGGAACCTACTTTGCGAATGTCCCGCACTGGGAAAGGGCAGACTAAGGTTCATAGGCATTGGAATGATTGGACACCTGAGTGATATAGCGGCAACAAATATAAGGCGATAGCTCAAATTTGCCAACTTCACATTCACATTATGGTTTTGTATACATAGGAGGAGGGTTACAATTTTATTAATCCAGGATGCGGGGCGACCGCTGTTAGAAAAAACGTTTTCTATTTTTAGATGTTGCTCGGGCTAGGCATCGAACCAATTCTAACCACTTGGTAACAGCGGACGCCATCAGAAGTAAATTAAAATAGCATTCTCAGTTCTTCATAGATGGATCCAAATGGACTAACAGACTTACAAAATACTGAATGCATTTCAGGCTGAGATCTAAGTGTGGTTGGTAAGCATTGTGTACATTGTTTACTCCGTGATCCAATGCCGTCAAGTCGGCAACGATTAACTCGATATAAATTTAGGAATGCCAAAATCTTCTAGAATCTTCTAAAAAACCCATAGTCAATATTTTCTGGTTGTTTCGGAGAATGAAGAAGTAGACGATTGTGCGAGAAAAACGTCTGCTATTACGCTTAGGTAATTGAGACCAGACACATAACCTTTACTATTATCCCTGCTTTCACAAGTTGAGAATAACTTCAGAATATCTGGCAAGAGTTGATGGACTAATATGAACATATCGATCGCTGTGACCTTGGCTTGGAACGGGGCATAAAATTTCTTACGGGAATATTAGCGCGATACAGGACTATTGGCTCCAAAGCCTGCCATTTCCGGAGTGGCTGTAAAGGTGAGTTAGGTGCAGAATGCTTTAAAACTTGCACTTCATCCTAACAAAATTTAATGCGCTATAAAATTGCATACCTAAAATTTTTCTAAAAATTCTGAATAAAAAGTTTGAAATTTTTGCGTGTAGCTCGAAAAGTTTGTTGAATTTTTATAATTATATAATGTGCTAGACTTTTATAAAAAATAAAAAATAGATTAAATAAACAAAAGAAAAATATACAAAACTGGTCAAAATGTCAATTAACTTAATCAGCTGGCCGCAAGTGTGCATTCATACTTACATATACTTCGATTTTAGAGTATAGTTGGCTTAGCTACAAACATATTTACTTTAACAAAGCCGGGAAATTAAGTCATCTGGGAGGGTTTAAAAGTATGTATAGATTTTGTTTAATTAACCTAGAAATTAGATATACAAGTACAATTTATCTTCTTTAGTGCAAATGTTTTTAAAATCGTTTGTTCATTTAGTTATCTTAAAACCGGGGACCCAAAATAACCATTGAATATTAATTTGATTTCTATTTTTTTCGATAACAAATCGTTTAATTTGGATTAAAATTTTTTTTTGGTTAAATTTAATCATTATTTTGTGGCTTTTAAAAATTTTGATAAACAGCAATTGTTATTTCGCATTTATATTTTTTCAGGGGCGGTTAACATTTTAAATAAAAAAAAATTAAATCAGCATTTTATCATATTTTATTATTTTTATTTTTTGCGATCAACAGAAATTATTATAACAAATGAAATGTAAAAAGTCCCCATCGTTCCCACATCTGCAAGAAAATGTATTCAAGGTCAAAGGTCACATAATTTGTTTGTTTTTTGTATTTTTCAGCCAAACCATAAGGCTTATCATAAAATCAGGTTATACAAAAGAGTAGATCATGCAATTATCTAGAAAAACTTTTGTGGCACTTTTGTTCATAAGAATTAACATTTCTGAGATATAGCGATTCAAAAAGTTTTAAAACTGGGTCTTTAGTTTTTCTCTCTTGTTTTAAAAGCATTTGGAAATTTGAGAGAAATGATTGATTAAAAAATTGAAAAAAAATTAAAATTTTTTGGCACACAAGGACGAATACGTGTTGATAATACCTTGTCAATTAATTAAAAATTTTCAGGCTAATAAAGTTAGAAGCAGGGACGGTAATTATTACGAGTAAAATTATTTAAATAAGCTTTTAATGATTATTTTATGATTTAAATTTTTTCGCTTAAAAATAATAATTACTATTGAGTTTTGTTTTTTCTCTCAACGGAAATAATTATTATGTGATTTTTATTTTTTCACTCTGAGATAATAACTATTTATAAGTTTGATTTTTCCACTTAAAAATAATGATTATTTATAAAGGAGTCGTAAAAACGTAAAGAACAGATATTTTGACCTGGAAATTTTGGAACTTATTTCCTTTTATTAGGGTCTCGCTACCTCTGAAAAGGATACGTCGGAAATCACACTGGTCCGTTGGAGTTTTTTGAATAATCTTTATTCTTAAGTGAAAAATTAAAACTCAATAATAAATATTATCTTTGAGCGAAAAAATAAAAATCATAAAATAATAATTTCCCTTGAGTGAAAAAATAAAACTCAAATGCTAATTATTATCTTTAATCTTTATTGGTTAAACTCAAAAAATAAAAAAATCATTGTAAATTACAGTAGGACGTACGAACACAAATACGTAAGTATAGTTAATATTGTTTTACGACGATTAGAACTTGGAGATTTTTTAGCTTAAAATTTAAAAAATATAATGATTATTTTCCATACCTTTCCATAGAAAGGAAAGAAATTTGAGGATGTGGTCGTGTGTATATTAATCACCAACAGATAAATTGGTCAAAATAAATATTTAAAATTTCCAAGGATATTCAGGTATAAAATTTTAAAAGGACATTATCAACGTCTATTCGCCCATGTGCACCAAAAAATTGAATCTACAAAATTTTTCGCTTTTATTTGGTACCCAAATTTTTATTTTATATTGCACTGAATTTTTTTTAAATATTTTTTATTTTTTTGAGAAATACCAAAAACGCAGTTTCACTATTTTGGGGCCCTTGTTTCGTGAATATATTGATTTTTTGTGTGTAAAATTGACAGTCGCACGGTGATATTGCATACAACAAAAATACATAGAACCATTGAAATTGATGACAGAGGTGTGAATATAAAGTAATTAGAGAACAGAGATGTTAAAAATGCTTGTAAAATAATATTTAAATACAAAATATGAATATGCAATGAAAAAGAGAAGAGAAAGATTGTATTGAACAATAAACATAGAAGTTATGAGCACTTAAGCAAAGATACATACAATAATTTCCATCAAAATTTACGATTTACATATAAATAAGTGGACACCCACCTTTTACTAAAATTTTGAATCGCAATATCTCAGAAATGGTAACTCTTAAAGACGAAAGTGCTATAACAGTTTTTATAGATAACCAACCCTTGACCTTTGACTTAGAACACATTTGTTTTTTTTTTTTTGCAAATAAGCGAACGATGGAGACTTTTCGCATTTAATTTATAATGGTGTTTCCAACTTTCGTAACAATTTTCAGTTCTATGTGAATTATTATAAGCTGACTGTTCAAAAGCGGTTAAATTTGATCGGAAAAATAAAAATCCAATTTTAACATTTAATTTATAATTTTTTATTATGACCGTTATGGTCTCTGCTTAAAACAATTTATGCATGTACAAACATACATACATATGTACATATGTACGAGTAAGTAAAGCAAATATCATTTGTAAGTATTTGCATAATATTTATTTTATATTTTTTCTTCAACTAATTAAGTCAGTGTATCTATCTATTCATAGACTTTTATTGAAACTGAGCGCAGCTCGTAGGCGATTGCGTATTCGTGGTGAGGTCCAACGTGACCCAGCTGCTGGTCCGTTGCCATAATTCGATACGGCTCTTAGATCGTATGGTGATACACCTTCATCCACGTCGTCAGCCTCGGTTTTGATTTCCATTTTCTGTAATAAGTAATATAAAAAATTATAATTATCGTAGATACAGTTATACATATGTATGTAGATACAGTAAACAATTTTAAAGTAGAATTCTACAAAAGGCTTTACGGACTTTCAGCACTTTATTCAGCTATAAGTTTTATATTGCCACATGTTTGATGTGGAGTTTTACTCCTACAGAAAAAAAAAACTATTTAAAAATGTCGCCACTACTTTTTACTGCAGTTCTACCCTGTCAACATATTCAGCAATTCAGCCATGGGTGTAAGCAGGCAAGTTGTAAGTTTCTTTCTATGAATTCATAATTAATATCCAATTAAAAAAATGTATGCAATAAATTAAAACTTTGGGTGTCTTCACATCCATTTCGTTAGTTTTGGTAAACTGCTGGTTGTTCCTCGATAATTTTATCAACTGTGAACGTCCTTTTCAGCTTACTTTTGTTAGTTTGACAAAGAGTCTTACTTAAAAAAATGGTAAAATAATTATTTTTAATAGGTTTAGGTATGCTTAGCGTTCACATACATAGGTTTTGTAGAAAAAACAAAAATGAAATTATCACTAAAACAATTTATCGATTTGCATTTTTAAATAAACAAGTAATTTTTTAGCAAAAAAACCCGACTTCAATTCTCATGTAAAACTTTAAGATTACCGTTAATTTTTTCATGATCCAATAATCGGATCTAAGCCAAATTAGGATGGGACCACCTCTAAGGTACCACATTTGCTTTAAAAAAGAATTATCGAAATCGGTTATGCGGTAACATATGTACATGAAAAAATATTCCGACGAATAGACAACCTCCTCCTTTTTGTTGAAGTCGGTTAAAATGAGAAAAATTAATGTGGTAAATTATTATAAATTTTTAACGGCTATATTTTAACATTTCTAATAAAATTTACATAAAAAAAAATCTCAGCATCTAACCAACTAGAAATACTAGTAGCATCCAGTTGACAGGATAGTCTTCCAATTCATTCTCCGCTAAGGGAATAATCATTTTGGTCGCGGCGCTCCAACAGTCGCAATGGCCGACAGAGTAAAACACTAACGTATCTTTCCTGAGAGTTCTCGAGCAGGAAATTTGTTTCTTCTTTGTTTTAACGTGTTTTTTTTTAATCTAGAGTTTTCATTGTAATTTTTTAATCAAATTTTTTGAAAAGCAAATTTTTATTTTTTTTTGGATTTCATTAATTTTTTATGGTACAAACGTCTTAACCACCACCAAGCGGATTCCAACTTGCGATCTTAAAGCTCAAACAGAGTTCTTATTTATATTATATTTATTTATTTAATGTCGAAAGCGAAAAAAAATGCAAATCTGTTACGGAAAATTTGCTTTTGCTCCGATTTTTGAAGCGATTTACTACTGAATCAAGTGTTAAGCATCCGAACACTGTTCTCTACATTTGTACTGTTTTATAAACCGCGGTGTGAATAGCAATAGTTAGTGATGTGGTTAAGTTCGATTTGAGATTGTTAACTTTTTGGTGGGGACATGGTATAACTCTCACCAGCAAGTTAGAACGGGTCACTAAACAAAATATTTTCCTGAAATTCCCGTTTTTTTGTCCCTATCTCATAAATAACAAGATCTACAGAAAAATTGACAAACTGGTTGGCCATTCAATTTCCTACAAAAAAGTTTTTAAATACCAAATCGCTAATATCGATATTTCGTGAGATATTGGGAAGGTGTTGCTCATTTTCTCCATACAAAAGATAATTGTCGAGAATATAATTTGTATGGAAGAACTTGCGTAAAAAAATTACCAAAAATCAACGCGATTTTCCGGCGACTTCAAACTTGCACTTTGTTATACTAAATTTGAATGTGCTATAAAATTGCATACCTAGAATTTTTCTAAAAAATCTGATTAAAAAGTGGCAAATTATTGTGCAAATTTAATGAATTTTCCTTAGTTTTGCACAAAGTTTAGAGATTTTATTATTATTTTTTCTGGTGTAGAACGAACTGTATTTTTATAAAAAATTATCGAAAATAAATTGGAATAAAGAACTTTGTATATATTGCGAAAAATTCACTGTGCCAATACTTTTGTTCGTCTCTGTATGTATTCGTGTTCAAAGATATTTGAACACTGATTTCAGCTTATAAAACTCACTGCTGAATAGAGCACTGCAAGTCTGAAAAGCGCTAAACACTTGAAAAATGTGGTGGTTCGTTCTATTTTTTTAAATCTATTTTTTTTTATATATGTTAAAAGTTATACATACCTGTACTATCAATCGCAAAAGCTGATGTTGTTGGTCCAATAGACGGGTGATATCCCGCAATTTACGCCGCTGACGCTCCAGCTCACTATTTATGAAATCATCGTTGCTTTCAAATGCGATTGTGTCCAAAGAAGCTGTGGAAAATATGAAGTGGTATTTTAATAAAATGGCACAAAATCTTTTCTGGTATTAGTTGTATTCAAATTCAGTTATACGCGTATTTCTCTTGAGCTCTCTCTCTGCTGCACATCTGCGCAGTGCTCGGCTTTCGAAAAAATTAATATTGGTACATTTTACTTACAAAAAATGGTAGAAGTTGGTAGATTTTTTAAAAGAAACAATATCCGATAGTTTTTACTCATTAGGATAAAACATTGCGAATTCATAAAAGATTGTGTTACCAGAGCAGATGGATTTTCGACTCGGAGGTTCTTAATATCAAAGCGATTCTGTAATTCTTACCGGCATTGTGCGTAAAATTTTTTAGTGTATTTTTGGTTTTTGTACTCCTGCTATCCCCTAATATGAATTCGGCTTGGGATAAAACAACAAAAATGTATTCCACGTAATAATATATTCAACAAAAAACCTATACATAAAACTGGACCCGAATACGGCATCCATTATCGAATGAAACCCGATTCGAATCGAATAAAATAAAATGACAGCTGTTTTTTTTTATTCAATTTAAATCGAAAAAGCGAACTCCTATCGAATGCCTAAAAAGAAATTTCGTATAAAATTTAATTCTATCACGGATGCCCTGATTCGGACCCTGTATTAATGTTATAGGAGGGAAGCTCAAAGAATTACATACAAAAACCTATGTATATACATATGCCTATGTTATTCGACACGCTGAATGCGAATTCGAGGTCCCTTCTCCCTAAATCACGTCAAGTTCGTGGCCAGTTAAAGGTCAAGTAGGGAAAAATTCATTGAATAAACCTGAAAATTCAATACAATTCTTCTGAATTTAATCTTGGGATGACCTTGGCATGACCCCTAGATGATATTGAGGCATCATGGGACCCCCATATTCAGATTCAGCGACAATAAAAACAAATATATTTTTTTATTGAATAAATTGTTGGTCCTAATTTATCCTCAAATGACCTCGAAACTGGCATTATGGAGGTTAATGGACATCAGATTCGGGTTCAGCGAGTCTTAGACCCCATATGTATGAATTATCAGGTTTATTCCATGAATTTTTCGATGGCAAAATATGTATTTTAATCTCTTTGCTTTCTTTCCGGTAGAAATGGTAGAGAATATATTATAGCTAAAAAGTTGGTAAATCTACTAATAAAGTGGTAAAGTCCGTGCACTGCATCTGCGTCACTAACCATGAGCAGGCACACTCCTCGACTCTAAGCTCGCCTAAGGATTTTTGGATAGCTTCTATATGGACATTAGTAAATCTGTGTAAAGGAAAGCCGCCAAAAAATTACTTTCACTCACCTTCGTGACAAAAGGACGTAGTTAAGGGCATTTCAACCTTTGAAAATTAGAAAAAGCCATGCAACCCGAACATGCAGCGCCGTGCCAGGTTGGCGTTTGGAGTTATTGAGCGCAATTCTGAATACGCCTGGGGAGTTTGTTCTCCGGGAATTTGTTTCTCCGGAGAAAGAAATCCTCTAATTATTAACTCCCAGGGAGTAGCATTTTCCCCGAAAATTTGGGACATGTTTGACACTTTTTTGACAGCTTAACTCCGCCATTTAAAATTAAAAAATCCTCAGGGAATTTTTATTCGTGATAGAAGGAAAGGGAAAAGAGAAAAACTCCCGGGGAGTTTCTGTTCAGAATCGGTCTGATTATGTCCTCACGGCTAAGGTTATTTGCTCAGAGATTCCATGAGAGCAGGTCATAAATCTCTTGGATTATATTTTTTTGTTTACTTAAAAAAAATGTAAGTTTAGTGGGAAAACGCATTCAAAGTTTGATCAGTTCATCTAATTGGTATACCAAAAGGCAGATGGAAAGACACACATCTTCGTCAATTTTGGGAAGTTTAGATATCTGATCCCAGATGGGCGCTAGAAATCTCGACTCACGGTACTGATTTCAAAATGGCAAGGTCTTTAGACATTTTTCGGGCGGGACGGGACGACACTTCCGATAAAACCGCAACCTCCACATTTCATGCTAGTTAAATTCGGTGGTCATAGGGCGAAAACCTCC